AAATGGAACTCCATCGGTTAAAATTTTGATCATTCTCGTTCAGTGGATTTCGTGCTAGCTCCCCTACTATATAAGTTTCAATCTTGATTTATTTTGAGCTAGCAGGTGTTTTGTGCGTTGCGTAGTGACCTCATGTTATTGCCCAAATGAATACAGCAATATATGTTGTATAGGAAGTGGATGAAACTCAATATTTACACAGACTGCTTTTAAACAAGGGCAAACTCACAAGCGATTTTGGTTATTTTTAGCTCACTCCAAGCGCAAACGTGCTCCGCGTCGCACGAAAGAAGCGTTCACTATTATTGTTTTTTTTTCACTTTCGAATTTGATTGTTGAATTCTTTGACCGTCGGAATCAAACTTTTGATTCATTCGCTGGATAAGACCTGCTCGTACTGTTAGGTTTCTTTATTCGCTTCTACGCACTAATTTGACCGCACGCTTGTGTTACGAGAAAAAGCTTGTGATACTGAATATTCACTGTCGACGAATTTAACTATTCGCGATTTATGATCATGGAATTAATAAAAATTGTTCCTCGTCCCTAGGAAAAAAAAACAAAATTCCGTTCCAGAGTTGTGCACGTTTACAAGACCTTTCCGACGACACCATTTTGAAAACAATAGAAGAACTGTAGAAGAACATTTATGTTCTTCCAATTTCACATATATTTCCTCATTCGTAATGGTTTAGCATTCTTAAGTTGGTAAAACTGAAAACCCTGATCCATTTCAGAAGTGGAAACGTACACAGTCTAAACCTGAACGCCCTGGAGAAGAAGAAAGTTGTAGATAGGGATACATTTTGCCTTTCCCGTATCAACCACCTTATACATACTCGACTTTGATTTAATCCGCCCTTTTTCGTACTGACAGTTTGTGCGGTTTTTGAAATTCGATTTTTTACAGCATTTTGGTTTGAGCTGTATGACAGTTCGACGCTAATTAACTTATGACTTGAGCTCTCCCACGGCACAATGCAAATTAAAATTTCCGCTCTCTTAGAACCAATTAGCACTACAAATAACAAAAGTGACAGTTCTCAGGCTGCGTAACTCCCTTATCAACGACCGGATATGATCCAGCAATACTGCCACGTATTTCTAGTGAAATCTATCATATCGCTCGCAAGGTTGGCGCTACCTAATTCTCTCATGCAATTAAACAACTAGTGACTCATCCGGTAACCACTGACTTAAAAAACAGAGAGTAACAGCATTTTGGAGAAACCTGCCCTCTAATGAAACCACTTTGTATACCGTTACTCTGCATGTAAGTGTGCGCATGCGTAATGATTTTTTCGCGTCTTTTAGTCTGCGCATGTACAGTCTGTTTTTTAAGAAGTACCTTTCCTTAAATTTAAAAAAAATACCCCTACAAATTAGAAAATTTGATCTGCGCATAATAAATAATGGTTTTAAGTAATAACCACTACTTCTTTCTATCATAGCGTTTACCGTTTCCACAATCAAATTGGAGTTTAAAAAAGTACAATGCACGGCAAAAGTTTAAAATGTGAGGAGTGAAAAAAATAGATTTTTTGCTATAATTTCTTCGTAAGTGCATGCCTCGGTCCCATAGCGAAACAAATACCGAAAAAAATAGCGCTCTACCTATCGTTTTTCCAAAAGTGCTCCACAGTTCGAAAAATTCGCTTTTTTTGCAAATTGCGATTTTAGGGGGTTTTAGGTGAGCCCTTGGGCAACCATGGCGCCCTAATCCTCCGCGTGCAAAACTCACCCACTCACACACTTGCGCAATTTGCCAACTTCGAAGGCGAATTTGTCGAGTTTTAGGGCTCTTTTCCAAAACGGAGATGAAAATAGGTCCTGGTGCCATCACTTTTGAAGGCCGTTGATAAAAAAAAACGAATGTAACTTTAGCCCGGCCCTAATTATTTTTTGTTTTTGTTTGTTGGTACTATCCCAAAAGCGAATGTCCTTAAAAAAACCTAATGTAACTTCAGGCTAGTGAATCTTGCACTAATTAACGCGATTATCGCTCTTCCTGGTTACCACCACAATCTCTTCTGATTATTGTAGCGCAGTCTAACGCTTAATCTAATTCGGAACGCGCACCCTACGCTTTAGAAGCCAAAGACCGAATCTTAGCGCCTTCAGAACTTAGCGCTGAATGTCCTCTAGGACATTCCACTGGATGCGGCCCTACTTTTTCCAAGTTTCCAACACACTCCCATAATGGCGACTAATAGGTTATAGCGCCCATCTTTACTTGTTTAGTCAATGAACTTCATCCTTCCTGACCAGTTCTACTTTTTAAAAAGACATTAGGAATAAACCTCTGGAGCCAACTCAACGGTTCCATCGCATCAGAAACAGATATCTATAACCCATTAACTCCACCTAATATGCCGCCAGACAGGCGCTAACAGCTTTCTCACGCAATTAATCGCTCACAGCTAAACCTGGTAACCATTATTTTACAAAACATACAGCAACAAATTTATTGAGAAACAAATGACTTAAAAACTAAACAAAATTTTGAGAAATCAGCCCTGCATAGCCCTTAAAAGCTCACAGCCCTAAAGAAACTGAACTCTAACCACTTAATTTTGAGGACACGACCATTAAAATCGTTTTAACTACCAAAATGTAATAAAAATGGCGCCTACACCCAATTTTTCTATATAAAATCAAGACATTTAAACGCTCTAGCGGGCTCCCGTTACAGGTTGCATTTTGCCAAAATGAGAATAACACGTTCTTATAAAAGGCAGGAAGAAATGCGGGTTTTTTGGTCAGAATTCGAGTTTACGTAATACAAATTAAGGTCGACAAAAAATCGTGTTTCTTAAAAGAAAGACTGCAAACTGCATATTATATTATCCTAACCAAAGATTAAAGAGCTTTTTGCTCACTTAAATAATAAGAAGATGTGGAAGAATGCGAACGCACACCGTAAAAAAGATCCTAAAAGTGTAAAGTGACATTTTTGTTTATTTTAATCTGTTGTGTTTGATGAACATTCAATTTGTTTCGAAGTAGATTAAATTTAGCTTGACAAAGTTAAGGTTTCACTTTAAATTGAATTTTTCTGTAATTGTTTTAAAACAAAATTGTTACGCGTGTTCACGAACACCGGAATTTTTGAGTTTCATGTTAGCTAGAACAAAGCCGAGTGATTATGTATTTGTAAAATAAAATTTTTTTAAAGAATCTAAATTTTGTGTTAAAACATAGTTATTTTTGCCTTTTGAAGTCATTTTCAGCGACGAATAACGGGGCACCAGTTTCATTTATTTTGGTAAGTCACCGTTCTGAAATTTTCCGTAACATTTTTGCCCTTTTAAGAATGGATGGCAATATTTTCAATTGCTTGTAAGAAAATTCCTAAATATTTCTTGATTGTAATGCAATGATTATTTCCATGGCTGACTAAGTAAATATTGTATGAAATTGAAATGTGAATATCCCAGTTACCGAAGCATCCATGGTTAAAATTGCAAAGAAATGTCCATAAATAAGAAAATTGGCATTGCGCAATCTACGCATGCGCACATTTGATTTTTAGAATATGCGATGTGTTTGCCTTTACTAGAAGCATCCGTGATTGAAATTTCAACAAAATATATTATACAACTTATAGGATTTTTAATTAATGAAATATCTTTGTGTTTGTTGGCGCGTGCAATCAGTGATTTTTTGAAAAAATAATAGATTTTTCAAAAAAAGGATAAGTTTTTGTACCTATCTGTGTATATTTCTGTTAGCAATTCGTATTGTTAATTCATTTGTGAAAGTTCAGATTTGATATATTGGGTTTCGTTTATTTATTAAGGATACCTTCTAACCGAAAAAAAACTGTTTATTTTCGTAGAAAAAGTTCTAGTTTAGATATGATAATTTCGCGTAGAATTTGCGTACGTGACTAAACGGGCGTCCCGTGGGGAAATTTTCATTGGTTTATCGAGTTGCCAGGCGTGGATACTTGGAAAAGAAATTTTGTTTCAATACGGGAGTCGGAGTAAGATCGAGGCCTTTTATCAATTGTGAGGCCGGGGTGCTGACCGTTTAAAAGAGTTTTTTTTTCGCCAACTTCGAGACCGAGTTGCGGTCCTTTGAAAATTGAGAAGATGCGCCGTTCTTCGGTTAAACAACTCCACTTGATTCGTCTAAGAGAAATCAGCACGTGGTAATCAAGTTGGAGTTAAAGTAAAGAGCATGGGATAGCAGTTTTCATTGAAGTTATCGTCCACGGTAAACAGACAACCATCGATTCATCATCGTGGGTTTAATTCAGATCTGAATACCATCAATGTTTCTGCATCCTGTCCAAAGTCGAGACTTAAGAAGAGCGTTTCGGTTAAGTGCGTTGTTTCTTTTCGCAATTAGTATTTTGATGAACTTAACTGGCTGCCAATTGATTCTGTCTACATTGAAATAACTTTATAACAATATCTAAGAATAATTAATTCCTTACATTACGACTGCTTTAAAAATTGTATGAGAGCTGCATGTGGTATTCTCTTACGTCGTTGATATAGCATCCCACTTAGCAAGTCCTGACAACTGTACGCCACAATCAGCACGTATGACATAGGTCACCGTAGGTACAATGAATTTTGACGCAATTAAAAACCTACATGGAATGAAGAGATGAATATTCCCATCATGAAAATTAATGCAGAAGCCGGTCACCCCAATTTGTTAGAATATTTAACAAAATCATTAAAATTGGAAGCAAACTGCAAACCTATACCCAATGTAACCCTTCTTTATACTACACCTCTACGTCTACCGTTGAGCGTTAAACCTTTCAAAATACAAAATTCATGCGTGTGCGATAAAACGTTTACGGCTGAAAGTTTTTCCTGTAACACAAATAAAATATTTATTTGCAAATCTCGAAGCGGGCCCACCGAAGCCATATAACTTTCCTTTCAAGTGCCATAAACCATCCTTCCACCTAATCCTATAAGACGTTGAGAGCGAAACTCCGCCGTTAAATTGCGAAAAAGGCTTCCAGCAATAGTAAAATGCGACTTCTTTCTTTTTCCAGGCTGAAAATCGCGCGCTCAGATTAAAGGAGAGTGCGACAATGGCTCAATACGCCGACGATACAGGACAAGGTCCCGCCTTACCTTTGGCGCTGCAAAGCTTCGAAAGCACAGACGGGCGAGTCACCTGGAACTACTTCGACGAGTCCGCTTATATATCAAACGGCGGTCTCAAGGCTGGCGAGGATCCCTACGTTCGCAATCGCTTTAATCAGGAAGCGAGCGACAACCTGCCGAGCAATAGAGATGTTCCCGATACCAGAAACGCGATGTAAGTCGATTTTTTTCCATTGATTAAAACTTTTTAGCGGCGAAAGACTTAAATTTTAATTAAACAAGGGAATGAAGTGTATTTTTTGTAACTTAGTATTTTACAATTTCCGCTCATGATTTATTGATTGAGTACGTTATGGTTTATTGGGTTTCTTACCGGAGCGCTCCGTGCAAACTTCCGCGCTCACGTCATTCAATAATGATTGATGATGAAGTGAGGAAGTCTGGTAATTGTTTTAGTCGTGAAATGCCTTTAATAAATACTCTTGGAAGATGAAGGCGCAAGTTCCCGATTACACAGACTTCGGTCGCTTAAAATTCAGCTCAAACAACACATTTCTATGCAACTGGTTTGCAATAATCGTCGAGCTTTACAACTTTGAATCCCGCACTTACGCGACTGGCCAATAGAAGTGAAGGGAATGACTTTATTTGTTGAGCAAAGCCTAAGTTCTCCTGATACTTTATTGCGGGAAACAATTCCGTAGGGACCCTTTGATACAAACATTATTCCGTAGACTTAACAGCAAAATGTCGACTCCAGTTGAAGGTGCATGAGTAAGTGATGATTAGTAAAGCTCTTCGTGACCCAAAGCAATTAGTATATCACTAAATTATTAACTGCACGATTAATTAGCTAGAGGATTTGTAAGGGTGAGTCGGTAAATAATTAAACGGGGACCCATTATGGCCGTGAAACCAATTATGGAAATGCGACAAATCTACTGGAAACTCGACCTTAGAGTAATTCATCGGTGTCTACGTGACGTATTCGTCATCTTACGTATTTAGCTCTATGTAAGTGAAGACCACTATTTCAAGCAATGACAATTGCTTAAATAATCCACCCTCGCCCTTACACTTACTACAGAACCATAGGCCATTCTTGTCGGTTGGGCTTGGAATTGCGCATTTAAATCTTCTTCATTCATCATGAAATTATTTCCAGATGTCCCTAATCTTCCTTAATTAATTAATTAATTAATTAATCCCCTTCGTAGTTTCACTGTAGTTACGGTCTCGGATAGAAAAAAAACATAAGAAGTGACACTAAAAAATGGTAAGAGATCAAAATGATCCTTCTTTGCTAGGGTATCAAAAAATGCAAAATATGCCCTGTACATTTTTGCATTTTTTAGACCATTTTCATTGACTAAGACTGTAAAAAGATGACAAAAAAATCCCATTATTAGAGAATATTTTATATAATGCTAATTTTTAGTTAAAATTTGATTTTTGAGATTAGTGCCCGTGATCCCGATCGTTGAACTGAAACGGAAAGAGGGCTGGTCTGGTACCTAAATTGAGTTTACACATTTTCAAAAAAATTTGTTTGAATTCGTTAATTTCACGTTGCAATATCTTCAGGTATCAAATTTTGTTAAGATCAGAGATTCTTGCACACAGTTTGAGATTTAAGCGAACTTATCTTAGGATAGGAATTTTGGAAAAAAATACCCCAGAGCTTAGTTAACGCACTTAGGTATGTACGAGTATTATTGTCAATTACAAACATCAGTTGGTGCTTTTAGCACAATGTAGAGGTTGTTTTTTAGTTAACAGAGCCAGACATACTTTAGTTCACGTTCGCTATAAAGAGGTACTTGTGTAAATTTTCCTATGCTGAACAAAATACAAATTCGAAAGAAATGACCGTTTTATTCTAAAGCAACCACCCGTTCCAGTACCCCCTCCGGTTTTTAAAATGAAGAGAATCTGAGCGGAGAATAAAAAACAAACTAATCTAACCTAAAAAGCCGTAAACCAATTCAAAAAGAATATACCATAAAGTATCTGCATTTCTATTAACTTCACTTCCTTTATCTTCTTTGATCTTTACTTTTTGTTGTTCATATCTGGCAAGGAAAGCGATTCTTCTTGATTCTGCAAATGTTCTCACTTCAAAATAGCAATTCTGTCTTCTGCTTTCTTTTCCAGTGTTAAAGTTTACTTTTGCGCTCTGAGGATTATCTTCTCGAGCATCTTTTTGTTGAATGCTTCCACTCTCTCCAAATCCTATTTTCTTTAGTTTGCTCTCCTACCTCCTCCAAACGTTCTTTCTTTTGCTTCATCATGTTCAATTTCTTCCTTAACTTGTTTTCAGTTTTCAATCAAATTACTTACATTTCCTTCTTTCTTTAATTTTTATTTGTCTTATATCTAATTCTTTTTATCTTCTTCGATTGTTTTCGTGTCCTGTTTTCTTTTAATTTGTGGGAAATAATTTCTGGTTGATAAAATTTCTAAATTCTTCGTACCTTTCAAGGGACTAGTGGTCCCCGTCTTCGTAGTTTTCCCTATGTGGAAAGCCGTATTCTCCTCTTCCCTTTTCATAGTTCCTATTCTGTTCATAAGGTCCTCTTTCTCTCAATTATTATAACCCCCTTCAATTCACATGATCGGTTCTCTCGTTATGGTTTCTTCTAATTTCTTGACCTCTTCCAGCTGCATTAGTTCTACATGTTGGTCAATTCTCTCTTTATTCTTCTTCACTCCCTCTTTCAGTTCACCAATCCCAGCCTACTCTTTCACGAAAATTTCCATGTCTTTCTTGCATTTCCAAGATGGTATGGTCTTGGTCATCCAGTCTATTGGTAGGTAATTCTCGTAATGCGAGTTTCTAATTTTTCTTCTCGCAGACTTTTCTTTGTTTTTTGCCGTTTTCTGCACTCACAGCTCGCTTTTGCTTAATTTCTTCTCTTAACTTATCTTGGTCAACCTTAATCTTCTTTTCTAATTGAATCTGTTTCTCTTTGAATTCTTACCGTACTTCAAGCATCACATCGTTATTTTCTTTTTGTTTCAGCCTGGCCTTCTTGGACCACTCCTACTCTTTCTCCATTTTATCTTGACCTGCTTCGATTTTCTTCGCCATTTTAACTTGACCTTCTTGTACTCCTCTCTTGGTTTCTGGTTGTTCCCGTCTATTTGGCGCATTTTTTATGAATAAAAAAATATGTGCTATTGTCTGCATTTTGTCCGTCCGCCCGTCCGTCTGGACCCACTTCTGCCGTTTCGAACTACTTCTAGGAGAATGGTCCTAGAGTCCTGGAATGTTTTGCAGTAGGTAGCCTATACCTTTAAGGTGTGCCAGACGGCCATCAAATTTCGCTGACTAAAAGGGGCCCCCTCCCCCCACGAATTATTTCCTGCGATGCTGTTTTTGAAAGTAAAACGTGCATAACTTTTACATACTACAACCAATTGGTCTCAGATTTTGCATACGCATGCCTTTAGTGGTACCAAGTTAAACTTTAAATGGGGGGGGGGGGGGGGTAACACATGTTCTACCCTTCATGGTATTCTAGTGAAAGGTCTCATCGAAATAAATTGGCTTGTACAAACTATAACTTTCCCGTGCGACTCTTTTTCGAGATCAGTGAGCGACGGGGCCTGGGGGGTGGGGTGTGGGGTTAAAAATTAATTTTACCTCTCATTGTGTTCTAATTAAAGGTCTCAACGAAAGGAACCGTTTTGTACCAACTACTGCCCTTCTTTGTGTCCTTTTCTCAAAGTACGCGGTGGAGGGGAAGGGGGGTGGAACTAGTTTTATCCTTCATGGTACTCTAATGAAAGGTTTCAACGAAAGGAATTAATTTCTACCAACTACAGCCCTCCTCCTCGACCTCTTGTCGTATTCCCTTATACCTCAAGAACGGATTGTCGGAAGAGGGTACTCACAAAGGGCGATTGAGACGTCTGCAAGATATATATCCATTGGTGATGTCCAATCAAAAGCTATTTCGGTTTAAAATGCCCTTTATCTGCACAAGACTTGTGCACAATTTATACTTATTTCTTGTTGTTCTCGTCTTTTTTCTTGTTGTTCTTTTTTTGGACCTTTTGGAATTTTTAGGGTGCTTTCTTTTGCGTAAATTATTTTTCTTAAAGGTTCTGAAACCTCTTTTATAAAAATATTTACCCCACCACTGGTAACAATAACTTCTATCCTAACTTCTGCGATCACTCTTTTGTGTATTTAATATTGACCCCGCTAAATCGGTAACGGTCAATAAACCTATCGTGTGCGCGTACTAAACATTTTTCGTTTAAATTCCAATCGCGTAAGCAAACCGATTTACTGTAATTTTGAAATAAGAGGCCCTTACATGGAGTTAACTTAACCCCACGTCCATGCGTGACTTGTAACGGGCCTCGACTAGCGTACCCTTTTAAACGAATAAGAAACCTGCATTTTTCATCTCGTGTTTGGCTTCACAGAACGGAACGAAATTTTTAGGTTCGAAGATATCGTGGCAACCGCGCTTGTTTTCCCCAATTCGGTTCTTGTTATTTCCTGCTATCGCCAAACATACTTTCGTTCACGTTCGCTATGAAGCGGTAAGATGTGTAAATTTTCCTATGCTGAACAAATACAGAGTCGAAAAAAGTAGGACCGGATCAATGTCTAATAAAATATATAAAAACTGTTACTGATGAGCCAACGGGAGCAACACTTTGGCAACTATGACAAAAATTAACAATCTACAGCTTAACATATTCTGTGCATGTGGCCTTCTTTTTATGCGCATAGTGTGTACTCACCCACTCTATTAAATACATATTCAGCCCTGTGATGTATCACTAACGTTAAATTTAACGTGCAGGTTATCTGCCAAAAAACGTTAGTTGGCGTTATCTAGTATGGGCAAAATAACGTTTTCTACAGATAACCTGCACGTTAAATTTAACGTTAGTGATATATCAGGGCCGATTCATGTCATGTAGACATTATTTCCGTCTAAACTATCGCTTTTGTTATTTATCAATTTAGATAAGGTGTTAGGAGTAAGACACATCTGGTCGTTGCGATAAAGAGTCTTCTCAGACGAAAATTAATGAACGCACGTGTTATATTGCTATTAAGAGATAACGTGTTTCGAAGAATTGCGCGTTTCATAATAAATCTCTGCAGAAGCAAGTTCGCCAAAGTTGTGTTAGAAGTTTAACGCGTATTGTCCGTTTACGGAAAAAGTTTTGTCGAATGGAAAAAGGAAG